TGTGCTTTTGGTGTCATAGCTAAGGACTCATTGCCAAATACAATGTCATGCAGGTTTTCTTCTAGGAGTTTTATCATTATAGGTCTTAACAATTAGGTCTTTTATCCATTTTGAGTAAATTCTTGTATTTTCTGTAAAATAAGAGTCCAGCTTCATTCTTTTGCAGGTGGATATCCTGTTTCCCTGGTAGAATTCGTTGAAGAGACTATTCTTTACCCAATGAGTGATCTTAGCACTGCTGTCAAAGATCATTTGAAAGTATACATGAAGTTTATCTATTTATTCTATTCCAGACTATATATAACCTGTCTTTATACCAATACCAAACTGTTTTGATTACTGTGGCTTTGTAGTATATTTGAAATCAAGAAGTACGAGATGACTAACTTTGGTCTTTTTTTTTTTTCTTTTTCAAGATTATTTACTTATTTGTGGTCCCTTGAAATTCCACATGAATTTTAGGATGGATTTTTCAATTTCTGCAAAAAAAAAAAATGCCATTGGAATTTGGAAGATTGTATTGATCTGTAGATCACCTTGGGAAGTATTGAAATCTTAACAACATGAAGTCTTCCAAGTTCATGAACACAGGATATCTTCCTATTTATTTGTGACTTCTTTAATTTTTTTTCAGCAATGTTTTGTAGTTTTCAGTGTACAGATTTTTTTACTCCCTTGTTTATTAAATTTATTCCTAAGTATTTTAGTTTTTTGATGCTATTATAAAGGGAATTATTTTCTTAATTTTTTTCATATTATTCATTGTCAATGTATACAAATGCAACTAATTTGTGTGTTGCTTTTGTATTCCTCAACTTTGCAGAATTTATTCTAACAGGCTTGTTTTTGTGAGGGGATGGAACTTTTTTGGTTTCTACATGTCATCAGTGAACAGAGACGATTTCACTTCTCTCTTTCCAATTTGGATGTCTTTTCTTTGCACCTACTCTCCTTAGCTCTCTCCTCCCTCAGCTGCCCCCTTCTTTTCCTTTTCCTTCCTTCCTTTCTAATTGCTCTGACTACTGTATTGAATAGAAGACTAGAGTGGGCATCCTTGTTTCGTGTCTGATCTTACAGGGAAAGCCTTCAGTCATCTAGAGCTGTGTAAGACATTGGCAGTGCACTTTTCATATATGGTCTTTATTACATTGAGGTAGTTTCCTTCTCTTCCTGTTTGTTGAATATTTTTACCTTTGAAGTCATATCTTGTCAAATACTTTTTCTGCTTCAATTGAGATGATGTCCTTCATCCTGTTAATTTGGTGTATTACACTGATTGGTTTTCCCATCTTGAGTCACCTTGCCTTCCAGGAGTAAATTCTGCTTAGTTTGGGTATATAATCCTTCAAAAGTTCTGTTGAATTTGGTTTGCCCCCTGATTATTTTTATTATTTTTGAAGCAAATACCAGATGTCTTATATTTATCTAAAAATGTTTCCTGAAAAAGGGATTAAAAATCACAGTAATATTATTACCAAACCCTTGATTTATTATAATTCTTTAATATCATCAAATATCCAGTTAGTAGCTATGTTTTCTAAAATAGTTAATTAAGGTACTTAAGTTCCATGCCTAGAGATTGATTGGTATATTTCTGAAGTCATTTAATTATATAGGAATTACACAAATTAGTTACATTTGTATACATTGACAATGAATAATATGAAAAAAATTAAGAAAATAATTCCCTTTATAATAGCATCAAAAAAACCTAAAATACTTAGGAATAAATTTAATAAACAAGGGAGTAAAAAAAAAAGGTTTCCTTTTTTTTTAATTTTTTCTTTTTTGGTGGTATCATTATTCTACTGCTAAGATACATCCCCAGCCCTTTTTATTTTTTATTTTGAGACAGCCTCTCACAGCATGGCTGAGAATCTAAGTTGCTGAGGCTGACCTTGACCTTGAACTTGAAGTTCTCCTGCCTCAGCCTCCTCAGTCACTGGGATTATAGATATGTGCCACTGTACCTGACCTATAGGTCTACTTCTCTTTTTTTCTTGTTGTATTTTTAGAAACCACAATTTTCTCTGTGATAGAACTTTCTGATTCATCCTTATATTGTAGTTTATTATGTTCCTCTGTCCTTTTAATTTCTTGTAGTTAGAGGTTTTCTTTTAAATGTTTTCTTTTAAAATTCTGGGTTTGATGCTATTATAAAAGGAACCTAAGATCTACTTATCTTTTAGTGATGTTAACAGTCTTTGAGGATCATTGCTTAGATCCATTGATTAAGGATTACAAAATGGTGAAATTCTAATTCTTTTTTTTTAATTGGCCATTATACCTTTGTAAATATAAACTTACCCTCATCAACTATTTTAATTACCCCCAGGCATAGTTGACATAGGGACATAGGAAAGGCAGAAAAAGTGCTTGAAGTTTTTTTCTTTTTCTTTTTTACTTTGGTAGTTTTTAAAAGAATTTTCTTCTGTTCAGCATCTCTGATCAGGAGTCTGTGACTATCACCAATGCCTTCCAATTTTTGGACATTAATATCTGCCAGGCACAGTGCTGACCTTTCCTATGTATTACCTGTTTGACTTTATATAGATAGGGTCTCTTTGTACTTGAGGCAACTGAGGCTTGTAAAGTATAAATAAATTCTACTTGTACACAGCGGGAAGATAGCAGAACTAGAATCTGAATCCAGGTTTGCCTGACTCCAATACGTATTCTTTAACTATTATTTATGGTACTTTTTGAAGGGCCCAGTGGGATTTGAAGAGTGGTGAAGAGAGACTTGAGACATAAATTTTACTGGAGGTAAGGGTCTAGAAGGATTTTTTTTAAATACCTTTATTTTATTTACTTATATGTGGTGCTGAGGACCAAACCCAGTGCCTCATATATGCTAGGCAAGCGCTCTACGGCTGAGCTATGACCCTAGCACCCCCCACCCCCAAGGATTTTTAATTGACTACAAGCTGTAGGGTCTATTCAGTTGCAATCAGCTGAGCCATTCTTGGGCTTCCTACTTGTTGTCTGAAGGTGGACAGTTTACTTGGAAACAGTGTTGCTAGTAAAAATATGTTCCAGATCTGACCTTGTTAGCAATGTCTTCCAAGAGAAAGAGGGTTCCTCAAACAGTTTTAGATTTTTTTAGTTATATGTGGTTCTGAGAATTGAACCCAGTGCCTCACACATGCCAGGCAAGTATACTACTGCTGAGTCCTCCAAATTACTTTCTTAAAAAACAGCTTTATAATTTCAAATAGACATAGAAAAGACTTTAGATATCTAGTCAAATTATAGAGGTACTAGGGAGATAGGCAGTAAGTTATATACTAAACAGGTAAATGATAATATAATGGCAGATGCTATTAAGTATTTTGAAGGAAAGTACAGTGGCACAGGATAAAGAGTGGTGGGGTCAAGCAGATGGGGGCTGCTTAGATACAGAGATCTGAGAAGCATTTATTGAGAGAATGACATTTGAGAAGAACCTGAATGAAGGTGAGGGAAGAACCTTCAAGACAACAGGGGACAGCAATAACAGGGATTTGCTTAGGATTCCTTGGCAACTGCAGTGAAAGAGTGTGTGAGAGTAGGAGCTGGAGACTGAGCCACAGAGTGGGGAGGCTCGGGACTTTCTCTGTACACTAGGACACTCACATCCTATCTTCTTGAGTGTGGACAGCTTCTTCTATGGCTTTAATTACTCCTTAAAAGTTTCCCCCTTCTTTTTATTTCTTTTGCTGATGCTGTCCTATGTCAAGAAGAATGTACTTGCTTTGTTAACCAAAGGATAAGACCTGAGTTTTATTCCAGATTTCCTCTGAAGAAGATTGAATAGGCTGGGTGGAGTTTCTTGACTCAGATAAATCCATTGTGATAGCTCATAGATTGAGGGGGGGAAATCATTGTTCTGAAAGTAATACATATATACTTTAAAATTTAAAAATGGACCTAATGTTTTAAAATTAAATAGTAGGAAATGGATTTCTTGCTGAAGTTCATAACAGAATTTTGTACTGGGCACATGATCTTATAGGCTAGCAGTTACCTCCTTCCTATAAATGCTTGTGTTGGAATGCTTTGCATTCCCAGGAAACATTTTTCCTGAATGTGCCTTTTTGGAGGAAGTACAAATTATTCTTATATTATTGTGGTAAATAAAACATGGTTTAAAAAAGAATCCTGAACTTGTGGGTGTATCAACTTGATAATGTGTGGAATGTTGGTACAAGTATAGGTATTGTAGAGAATGTGGAGGAGTCCTCTGCTTTGTCCCCAAACAGAATTTCATTTATGGTCTAGTTCAATATTTAATGCCTCCTTTAGTGTTTAATCAGTTTATTTGTTTTTTAATCTGCCAAATCCAGATAATTTGACTTTCCACTGATAAAATATTTACTTGTTATAACAGGCAGGGTGCTAAACTTGGAAATTAAAGAGTACTGAGTTAAATTTAAAATTTGTTGAAAAGTATTCATCATGATGTAGTCTATTTAATGTCTTGGCAGTTCCTCTGACTCTTCTCATTTAACATGCAAGGAGACAGACTGGCAGCAGTTGTAAGCTGAAACTTGGTTGTATGCGGAATGAGACTGGTATGGATACTAAAATGGAGGAAATTTGAAAGTGTTAACTGTGTGTGTGTTTCCTTAAATTATAGTGTGACACACTGGCTTTAAATAGAATTTTATATTCTGTTTGTCAAGGCTATTATAACTCCATGATAGATGATCCTAAGACTGAAACTGGTTTTAAATATTGTTTTGTAGGATAACCAAATTTGTCTCTTAACAGTGTTGTCATTATGTCACACAAGTTGTTTTTATATAATAAGCATGTTTTACAACATGTTTGAGTCATTTTCCCAGGAGACCTGAAATTTATTACTCAGAAGAAAAGCATGCCTTTACAATATATTCTTAGCTGCTCCTTTCTATTACTCAGCTGTCAGGTCCTATGGAATCTAAAATAGAACTCCATCAACGGGAGACAGTCTCTGCATTGTTTACTGGACCTTTCGGATGTGGACAGTTTTATCATGCACTGCAGAGTCTCTGTTGCAGTTTCAAAGCAGCAGGATGCAGAGTACTGTTCAGGTTTTCTAGTGGGGTCCTTGAAAGGGAGGACTTTGAAATTCAGACAGTCTCTAAAGAACGAGAAATAGGAGGAGTTACAGTACCTGACTTGAGGCTCCTGTTAATCAAGTGCTGCGCTGTGAGGAAAATAATTTTCAAGCGTTATGAAGGCGGAGAAGGATCCTGAAGACGAAGAAAATATCCTTAGAGATCCAAGCTAAGTGTAGCACAGCATGTGAGGGACTGAGTCACCCCACTCATTAGGCGTTTGTGTGAAGGCTTGCTTTGTGAGCTGCAGAGATTTGTAACTTAATGCGGAGTGGTTTGCCGTTAGCAACAAGAAACTAAATCCTGTCTATGATGAGCTGTTGGTTTTCTTGTGCTCCTAAGAACAGAGTAGGTATCCTAGTAGTTCAGTGTAACAAAAGGTTCTCATTCGGCTTTCTGAACTGTGTTCTTTTAAAATGAGCTGTTTTATTAATTGTGCTTTCTTTGGATTACTCTTCTTCCTGATTTGCCATTAGGATTAGTGATAGAAAATAAAAGTTCCTGTTTGTTTTCTTGGATTAAAAAAGCACATGATAGAATCTTAATCATTAAGCAGCATTACTGTTAACTGACACTGGACCAGAATTGAAAATGGAGCTTGATGAAGTAGACTGAAAATCTCATCCTCATGTGAGACTTTGATCCTGTTTCATTGTTTTTTTTTTTTTTTTTTGTTAAAGCCTTCCTTTAGAATTATGTAGCTTTTTGCCCCCTCAGCTAGTTGGAAATAATGATTGTGTTATTTATAAGGATAAACTAATCAATACAGAGAAAATGTGTTAAATATGACTTAATCCTGAGGCATTTGAAAGTGTGGCGTCTTTTAGGTCTGCATCCACTACCATTCCTCAAATCAGAGTCACTAAACTGTTTTGATCTGTACTAGAGAAAGGTAGTGCCTAAAATGTAACTTAGATTTTGAGCCAATAAATAGTGTTACTCTCTACTAATAATTGTCAATTTTAACTTCTGAATTTAGAAAGAAGTGGGTTAATCTTCATATTGTTATAGATTTCAAGACAATTATTAAGTCTGTAGGTACTTGAACCAGGTTCCATAAAAATACTGAATTTCAAGAGTGAGTTAAAATTTTAATGTATTTATCTTTTTATACACAATTTAAATATTTTTAATGAGTACTTTGATATTTAGCTAGAAAATTGGTGGTTTTTTCTTTTTGTGGTTCAGAGGATATTAGATATAAAATAATCTTGCTGATTAAGCAAACATTTAGGGAATCTATGAGTAAATAACTTCCCCCCCAGAAGTTTGTTATAATATTTGTAAGCATAGGATTTGCTTTATAAGTTATGTGAAAAATGTGTAGATATTTTTTGTTTTAGAAATAGTAGTGGATTTAGCACAGAATTAAGCAGGAAGTTGATATATATTTTAAAAGGTTAAAATCTTGAATGTGTAAACAACATGTATTTAATTTCTGTGTTCTTTAATTTCTGCTTGCTGAGAATAATATCTTAAAATGAACTTTCTTCAAATCAAAGCTAAATATAATCTTAGTACAATTAAATATATATACAAATAAATATTATTTTTAAAAACTACCTTTTTAAAAAAAAGTTTTTTGAGTTGTAGATGAGCACAATATCCTTATTTATTTATTTATTTATTTATTTATTTATTTATTTATTTACGTGGTGCTGCAGATTCGGCCCAGTGCCTCACTCAATTACTGAGCTACAACCCCAGCCCTAAAAAACTACTTTTGATCTTCCTTTGTAAAACATGTATTGAATTTTTTGTTAAAATTAAAAATCTTTTTTATAAAATTAAAATGTACTGAATGTAAATAAGAAAATGAAAGTCATTTCTAATTTTATTATTTTAGATTCTAAGAAATTAATACTTTAGAGACTTTCTAAGTTTTTTTTGGTGTAGAAGTTCTTTTTTTATCCTAATATATAAGCATAATGAGTTTCTTTCTGTATTGAGTGTGTGTGTGTGTGTGTGTGTGTGTGTGAGAGAGAGAGAGAGAGAGAGAGTGTGTGTGTGTGTGTGTGTGTATTATTTGCCTTATAGAAATAAATATATTTCTAACAGTACCTTTAAATAAGTGGGAGAGGAATATGGTTTCTTAAAATGTATACAGAATTCTATGGCTAACAGTCCTGGGAGCCAAATCTGAAAGTGTGATTGGGCAATAGGAAAAGCAACTGATTTGGGAGAAGTCAAGATTGGGCTTGGCGACTTCAGCCATTTAATGTCCCCAGAGCATTGACTCTCCACATCTGTTAAGTAGAGAAGATAATTTTAGTTTACTAGGGTTTTTTGGGGTCGTTTATGTCTGGCACAGGGTGGCTTTTAGTAATTATTAATTTCCTTGTTTTCTCCCTGAGGACAAAGGGAACAGGACAGAGAAAATGAGAAGCATACTTTTTCTCAAAAGTACAATGTAAACTACACTTGAATGTCCTGTGTCCTGGGAAGGTTTTGTAACTGCTGTTCTACTTAAGTTAGCACAGCACAGAGAAGGAAGTTTTGGGATACTGTTGGAAAAGGAGGAATTGTCTTATGCAATACCACTTTCCCTTCTTTTTTCCTTTCTCCTCCACAAAATCTTACTAATATACTATGCCATGTTTCTTTTTTTTTTTTTTCCTTTTTGTAGCATGCAGCAGATTGGAATAAATATGATGACCGGTTGATGAAAGCTGCAGAGAGAGGGGATGTAGAAAAAGTATCCTCAATCCTTGCTAAAAAGGGAGTCAGTCCAGGCAAACTAGATGTGGAGGGCAGATCTGCGTAAGTATTGCCCGTGATGAAAGCATGTCTGAAGAAAATTTGGGTAGAATGTTGGGATACAAATGAAATTTGTGAACTATGGATATTAATTTTTAATTAAGAAGTCTCTACCAAAACTCATTGTTAAACTTTCAAACAGCTGGGTGTGGTGGTGCATTCCTGTAATCCCAGCAGCTAGGGAGGCTGATGTAGGATTCTGAGTTCAAAGCCAGCCTCAGCAATTTAATGAGGTTCTAAGCAACTCAGCAAGACCCTGTCTCTAAATAATAATTTTTTAAAAAGTAAAAAGAAAAATCAACTGGGTATGTGGCTCAGTGGTTAGTTAAATGCCCCTTAAATCCCTGGTATCAAAACAAAAAACAAAACAAAAACCTTTCAAACAAGCTAATGTTTGTTCTAATTTCAAAGATTCCCAAGTGAGAGAGAGAACACCAGATTACTCTGATGGTCTAGCTGTTTAGGCCCAAGAGTAAACCATGGCCTATAGTTATTTGATGCATTTTTATTGATAAGATTTTTTCATATTTCCATATTTGATCTCAGAGCAGCCCTATAAAAGAAGTAGGAAAAAAGTTTACAGCAGTTAAAACGCTTGCTTTAATCTCATGGAAAGTCACAGAACTAGGATGTGAGCCCAAGCTTTTTTCTTTGAAGAGTTCTGTAAATTTTACTGTCTTTCCCCCCAAGTCCCTGATCTATTTTTTTTTTAACTTAGATACTTAAATGAGAATGTTCAGAGCAGAATGGAAGCAGAATAACTAGTGTGTCCTAGAGAGACATAGGTAGTGATCCTGCTCTTGTTTTTGTTACTGAGAAGGACAGCTGGCTAGTTTATGTGCTTATGAACCATGTGTCTCTTCCCCCACCCATCCCAAATCCTCATTGCTTCCCTTCCTGTTGAGGGTGGGGATCAGTTGGTTTAAAGGGTAGATATAGATTCTGTTAAGACCCTTTATAATTATAGCAGTTAAAACCCTATCTGGGCATCCTTCCAAAGTTAAAGGTGAAAAATCCCATTTCCTAAAATTCCTCAGTTTTATACTTGTAAGCGTTTATTCAGAATATTATAGGTGGAAACCAAAGACTAAATATAGAAATGAATATTAGGAAGTGAATAGTTAATGTTTGATGGAGGTCAGTACCTTGGAATGCTTAGACTTTTAAATATAGTAAAAATAGTAAATCATGACTATAAATTAAGTAGTTTTAAAGATAATACAAAGTTTCAAATAAACAATAAAATTTGAAAAGTTAAACATTTTTAATGTTTCAATTTCATCAAATTGTAATTTGATAGTTACAGACACATTGGTTATTTTTGCTTTTCCCTATTTTTTTCTAAATTTTAAGTTATTTATGAAAATGGACCCACAGTAGAAATAATTAAAATTTAGTATCTGTAAGTGATTTTGTTTTTCCAGAAACTCTGAGATGTTAAAAGATAAAGGAAGTCTTCTGTGGTGTGAAACTCTTTGGTGAAACCTTGTTTCAGCCCATCCCTGTTTTCAGTGTTTTGAATGAATGATCTTTGAGTTTTTGTTTGAATTTTTGATCTAAGGTTCAGTTTTGGGTGAAATTACTTATATTATAGAGTATAAAATTTAGTATCATTTGATGAACTTTGAATTCTAGGTTTGTGAAATAAATGAATAGAATTAATCTTTGAGGTTTTCAGTGTAAGAAGTAGAATTCTTCCTGGGATTCATGGGATAAAATATTTTCAATTTTTATTCACACATGTAAACTGTATTCCTCCTTAGTTAAAGCATTTAGTGTTTAGTTAAGTATAGGAAATTACAAATGCATCTTTTGTATTATCTGTAATTATAAAAACAATTTTATTCTGAATTTTTTTAATTTTGAAATTTAAAGCAAAAAAATGTAACAAGTTCTTCTTGATCTCAGTGTTATTTAACAAATGAAATATTTGAAGCCTAGCCATTGTCACTGCAAGGTTCTGTTTCTTTCCTGTGTACCTCTCTCCTAGGGCACAGCCTTTGGAACTTCCAACCCAAATAGGCAGGTTCACCAAGGATCCCCACCACCAATGACAGAACCACAGGCTCTAGATTTTCACTTCCCTTCCCCCAATGGCTTTCAAAGTGGTGTTCAACTTCCCAACTGCTTTCTCTGGAATCAGCAAATGTTCAGAAGGAAGAAGTGGCCTCCACTCAGATACTAAGCTCTCCCTTCTGGGCATCTATCTTCCCTTGCATCCTGGCCTAGTCATTTCTTTACTATCTTTTTAGCTTACCAATACCCTTGAGGACATGTTTATATTTTGTGCAGCTTTTCTATTTGTCCTCAGAGGTACTGATTGTCCAAATTATCTATATCTTCCATTATGGAAGCAGAAATTCATCTCTTGATTCTTAAAAGGAAAACCTAAGAACTGATATTTTAATTGCAAAAGAGTATTTTTGTGAAGCAATTTTTCATATTCCTTTACAGTTCTTTGCTCACATTTTAATAATTGATGTATTGTCTTTCTGAAGCACATTTACTATTTATAGCATACCGATATTAATAATCCATTATAGATTTGTTCTGATTTCTGACTTTTAGCATGTCATTCTTATAATGTTGATTAATTTTGAAGAAGGGGGTCTTCTAAATTTTGTGAGCCAAGAGATAAAAATAAGCAACTAAACAAAAAGTGTTATCTCTAAGATCATTGGGGGGCTAAGTATCTGTGTGAAGGAATTAGCAGCGCCCAAAAGGCTCTCATAGTGCATTGCATAGTATAATTCATTCAGTATTGCAGAGAGATTGAATGATATCCTCAGCCTTAATATATACTTACTAAATATAAACTATATTTCTCCTTAATTAAAGAATTTAGTAAGTAGTTAAGTATAGGTCATTACAAATGTATCTTTTGTATTATCTGTAATTATAAAAAACTTTATTCTGATTTTTTTAATTTTGAAATTTAAAGCAAAAATGTAACAATTATTTCTTGATTTTAGTGTTATTACAAAGATTGACCAATATCCTTAGCCTTAATTACTCTGTTAGAAGGAGAACTAATCTGACTCTTAAGAACACTATATACCTTTTATCAGAAACATCTATTTTTCTTTAATTCAGTTTGTATTCAAACCTGCTTTTTTTTTAAAGGAATGCTTGGTCTCTAGTTTGCATTTTATCTGTCATAATAGTAAGTAGAGTCACACACTGAGTATCATAATACTTGGAAATTAATTTGCAAGCTGTCTTCAAAGTTTGTCTCTAAGTATTTAGTTATTCAAATATTTCAAGGTCCACTATCTGTCTTGTACTTGATTCTGGGGCTACAATAGAAAGGAAAACAGATAAAATCTCTGCATTTATTGAGTTTGCAATTGATTAAGAAGAGATTCAAAAACTATAAAGAAAATAAGCATTGAATTTATGTATTATGAAAATGTTAAGTTCTTCATAAAATGGGGGAACTAGAAGTACTAAGCTTTCAGGGACCAGGAGGATCATAAAACTTTTCAGTGGTCTGGCCAGGGATGCACCCTGGGTTGAGAAAGCGATGCAGAGTGCTTCTGTTTCCAGGCACCTTGCTGAACACATTCATATCCTTTGTCTCCTGGCATCTTCAGAGTGATTATTGTACTTGTTTAGAACATCATTTCTATTTCAACTTGAGTTCAGTGTCCTTTGCCAACAACTCTTATGTTATTTACTGCTTTGAATTTGATAGTCAATGTCAGGTCTTAGTGCACAGAGAAAGTTTCTGTAAATGTTGATTAATAAAGTAGATGATCAAAGAAATGGAATGTTTTGTTATCTGGTGTCTTAAATCCTTGATGCTTCACAGTTTCTTAAGCAGGTTTGACTTGCCTTATAAGGAAAATCATTCAGTTACATCAGTTTGTGTGAAACTTAACCAATCATGAAGGTCTGTAAGCAAGAAGAAGAATTAGCTGGTAGTCTTTGGTCACTGGTCACAGGTTCTTTTGTGGCTTTTAAAGGTCATTTTGCTTGTTTGGAAGGCTTAGTTTGATAATTGTAAAGAGAAGGGGTAAATTTTTAAAAAAATATTTTTTAGTTGTCAATGGACTTTAATTTTTTTTTATTTGTAGATGTACACAACACCTTTGTTTTATTTTTAAGTGGTGCTGAGGGTTGAACCCAGTGCCATACACATGCCAGGCAAGCTCTCTACCACTAAGCTAAAACATCAGCCCCAAGAGATAAATGTTTTGATGTGTCTTTACCTCAGGATTTTGTAATAACATTTTTTTTGGGGTATTTTTGGTATATTTGAAATTAAACAAAATGATCTTAATAGAAATCTTTCAATGTACATTTATTATCCAAGCACCAATACTTTTGCTATTGAAATGGTAAATTATGGAGTTAATGGTATTAATGGTATAAATTTTCTCTTAAGACTTGAATATTAGAATATTTTATTGGTTCTAATGAATGTTCTGGAATGTATTGGCATGTTATAGAAATCCAACTTTGGAATATTTAAAATTTCAGATTTTTGGTTTAGGGATGCTCAATATGTTCCTTTAAATATGTAGCCTTTAAATGTGTGTGTGTGTGTGTGTGTGTGTGTGTACACGCGTGCACGCGCGTTTTGAATAAATAGTGACATTCATGTAACATAAAAATTACCTTTAGTAGGTTCTGTGGCATAACAAATATTTTCTTTTTGCTTAGCTTCCATGTTGTGGCCTCAAAGGGGAATCTTGAGTGTTTGAATGCCATCCTTATACATGGAATTGACATTACAACCAGTGACACTGCAGGTATGTTTACCTCCATAGTCAATGTCAAAGCATCAAGAGGTTGCAAACACTGTCCACTGTTAGTGCATGCATATGTATGTGTGTGTTGTTTCAGTTTGAATCCAGGGCCTTGCACATGCAAGGCAAGTGCTCTACTTTTGAGCTATACCCCTGGCCACTTAAGTAGTTAGACTAAAGAAAACTCCTTACTTTTCTATGTTCAAATAGTTGAGAAAAGGTTTACTTCTGAGTTATCATTGTGGAGAGCAGTCATGTATAGGGAATTGAGGAGAAAGGATTACTAGACTGATAAGCAGTGTAAGACCTATAGTCTAGTGCTGGTGTTAGTAGTGTTATGGGATCCTAAAATCTCAGATTTTTAATATCTTTAGGGGCTATTGAATTGATATTCATATATTATTCTAAGAGTCCTCTCTGTCATGGGGTCATTTGAATTCAGTTAGACATTTTTTTGTGATGGAGAAGTAACCACCTCGAAATAGCAACAACCTCAACAATAAGGATAGTAGCAAGGATAGCTGACATTTATATAATATTTGTATACCTTCTCTGCTAAGCTGCTAAATAAGTACCTTATATGCTTCACATATGTTAACTCATTTTATCTCCATGTTAACTCAGTGAGGTATGAGGCACTGAGCTGTTAAGTACCTTGCCCAAGGCCCTTCAGTAGATAACGTTGCAGTCAGTCTATGTTCTTAGCCATTGTGCCTCAAAGGGAACCCAGTCTGTTTGCTTAGCTATATTTATAAAAACATATTTTTAAAAACAATGGAAATCTTTTTTACTTTATCTTCTGCTTATACTTAGTCATACCTATGTCTGTCCTTTAAAATCATGTATCATAAGTTTGCACATCAAAGGTAGACCCGTAAGTATTTGAATATAGGTGTGAGTGTTAACATAAAATATATATTTTTATGTTAAAAATATGTTTTTATGTTTTCAGTGAGTGTTACTTTTCAGTCCGTCAGGATCACCATTCTCATATCTCTGGCATTCTTTAACAGCTTAGTTCTCTGTAATTCTACTTTGTTAGTCAGTGAAATATAGGAATTGACTCAGAGCGGAGAATTTGCTAAACATCTTTAAAATTTTATCCTATGACTCTGTGTATGGGCAAATAAATACATTACTGTTAACCAGTGTTGTTTTTAGAAATGAAACAGAAAAAGGGAAACAGAGATCACAATTGAGTTAGTGAGGAAAATCTTTACCTAACATACATGAAATTTTAAATTAAAGTCCAAACTTAGTTTATTACCTATGTTTGAAGAAAGAAATATGTTTATTGTAGCAATGTTCCTGTATATCACTGAAGGTGTATATATTCTTAGAAATTTTAGACCTATATGTCTTCAGAACTTTTAAGACTATTTACTGTGCTGATTCCAATTCAAACATGTATTTTCTTTCTTTCTTTTTTAATCTGTGTTTTTTCTGTTCTGGACATTTTTGCCTTGTGGATAATCTAGTGACTTTTTTTTTTAAGAGAGAGAGAGAGAGGGAGAGAGAGAGAGAGAATTTTAATATTTATTTATTTTAGTTCTCGGCGGACACAACATCTTTGTTTGTATGTGGTGCTGAGGATGGAAACCGGGCCGCACGCATGCCAGGATAGCGCGCTACCGCTTGAGCCATATCCCCAGCCCAATCTAGTGACTTTTTTCCTGCCTCCTTCAGTGCAGATAAAACTCAAATAAAGCTTTCCCAAGATCAGCAGACATTGCTTCATATACTGCATTCTAACATATCCTAAAGTCTTCCTTTCTTTTGTTTATGCTGCTATTTAGCTATATTTTTATTTGATTCTTTGTCTGTCTCTAGAGATGTCCTTTCTTGAAGACAAGGACATTTCTCATTTGTTACAGAATCTGTTACAATCCAGATGTGGATATTTGATTTAAAATTTTTATGTAAACTAACCTAACTTCTGTTTTACGTGAAAGTGATTTATAATGAAAGGTTTCCTCCCCTTCCCAACCCCTTTGGTGTTTTCCTTAACATTGCACATTTTAGATCTGGTGTGTCCTGATTTTTTTTTTTTTTTGCTGCTACATCTTAAGTGTCTGGATTGGGTATTTCCTTAGGCCTATTTATGTAACCAGCTTTCTGTAACACATTGTTGAACACCAGAGACTCACCACTATGCCTCATTCCACCACCTCCATTTCCATGCTGTCTGTCAGTTATTTTTCACAATGTAAAATGTTTCTAGGAAACTTGTCCATTAATAGTACTAAGTTGAAATTTGAAATGATCACATCTGACTAATTTGAAATTAGAAGATGATTGGATGTGGCTGATATATTACATCTGTGCCTGGTCTCACTGTATTTTGTTCTAGAATCTTATTAACCAGCTGCAGAGAAGTGATCAGACCAGGAAAACCTATCCACTTACCTAAACTCTTGACTGGGAATTGAAAGCCAATTTATTTATCCATCCAAAATGCTCAGAATATAAATTATTTTTCTAGTAGAAAGGTGTACTTGCAAAGTCAAATTATATTTTCAGAAATTTGTGAGGTTAGAAGAAAATTATTAAAAAGTGGAAGATAGAATATCTTAGTGAAACCCTTGTATTTTTTACTATTCAAGAGAGATGAATGTATTTCATGCTTGTATAATTATACATAGCAGATTCTACTGTCATGTATAACTAAAGTAAACCAGTAAAAAAGAGAAAAAAGAGAGATGAATGTGTAAAAACACATAATTAGAAGAGAATGTTTGGAGTTAAGATATCCTCTGAGAGTTTACTTTATCCAAAATTCAAAGTCAGCTTTTTAAATTATTTGGTAACCTTTCCTCCCCAATCCCTTTGGCATTTCTTTTAAAATGTGTATAAAATTGCACATTTTGGTACATATTATATTTGAACAAGTGGTCTGATGTTCAGAAATATAGTCTCATAATGGACTATGAATTCTAGGTGAAGTATGAAAATTAGAGAATACGTTTTCTATGACCTATATTTAACTTTCTCCATTATTACTGACCACACTGCCTAATTGGAAATGTTACATAAAGTCTGGTATTTCTTTCCTTTTCTCCTCTTCCATTCTTTTTTTCTCCCCTCCCTCTTTCTTTATGCTAGTACTTAACTACCTACTTTGTCTTAGATACTACTGTAGGTTCTGGAGATTCAGTGGTGGTGAATAAGACAAAGTTCCTACTTCTTTGAATTTGTATGCTAATTTTTCATCCCATCTTTATTGTTTTGTGTGTATATTTATCTCTTATTAAAATATCAGACTAAGTGAAAAATCATAGAAACTAAGAGCCTGCTTACAAATTAAGTATCCTGTCAACTAATTTTGGAATAAAGAATCATATTTTTATAAAAATTAATGTATGAAGAAAACAATCCTTTACATAATTTCTTTTTTAGGGAGAAATGCTCTTCATCTGGCTGCTAAGTATGGACATGCATTGTGCCTGCAAAAACTTCTACAGGTAGTGGAAGTGGTTAAAATTTTAGTTTTATTATTTGACTGAAAAATGTGTTTTTAATGTATTTTGGAATTTGAGTTCAAAGAAAATGGTAGGCTAACTTTGACTGTTAGCTTACATGATATTTTTTCCATCGTTTGTGAAGGAATGTGAACAATAAAGAACAAAAACTCCAAGGGAAGTGAATTACATAACTCAGTGTATTAAAAATAAATAACAAAGACTTGACCTTCCTGTTGACATTAGCTGGAGATTGGAATTTTCTGTTGTCTACAATATGGCCTAAGATAAAGTGATAGAAGATATGATTTATATATTTCTATATAAATGTAGATAACTTTGACTACATAATATTAACATTATTAGTTAAACTTTTAATCCAGCAACCACAAAATTCTGTGAACTAGTTGGCTGAATTTAATCAAAGGGTCTTCCACTAAATTTCACAGTAGGATTTATTTGTTCTTGTTCATAAGTTTGTTTTAAATTTCACTGAAAAAACAAACAAACAAACAAACATATTTTCAATATTCCGTGCTATTGTAATGTACCGTATGTTTCCTTTTTGGTGAAATACCATGAAATTTACAGTTATATCATGTTATTATATTTGTTTCATGTCAAAATATTTGCTACATTGTCTAAAAAGTCTTAAGTTTCTTTGATATTTGGAATATTTTAAGAAATAACAGCTGTTCATTTCAGTCTGGATATTGAATTTTAAAACAAAACTCTCTCAGATCACCCAAGTTTCTGTGTCTTAACAGTACAATTGTCCTACTGAACATGTAGACCTTCAGGGGAGAACTGCACTTCATGATGCAGGTAAGCAAAGGTTTCACATGAACACAAATGTTTGTTAAAATATCTAATCATTTAAATTAATGTTGAAGTTTTAACATGTATTGGTATGATTCATGGTGAAATAAAGAATGCTCTACACTTCTATGTATAATTTATTAGATTATGAAGTTTAAAAAGATTGAATCAGTGAATTTTTACAGGCCAGTTTGTTAGATACTAAAGGCACAAAGATAAATACAGCATACCCTGCTGTCAAGGAGCTCCAAGCACTGTGTGTGTGTGTGTGTGTGTGTGTGGTGTGTGTGTGAATTGTTAAGATATATGGGAAGTGGGAAAGACTTTTGTTTCTAAAATTGAATGCACCTAATTAGCATATCTAAGCCTTATTTTTTCTCACTTGCAGAATGAAGTTAATAATACTATTACATTTAAATCATAAATAGTGCCTTAATTAATTAATTATGGTGATTGTTTTGACTTAGAGGTGTCAATACTAAATTTCATATCACTGTAATGTGCTATATAAAAAAATTTACTAGTAATTTCACAGAGTTTATTGTTCACACTTATGTGTCAAAGTGTCTGAATTATTCTTTAAGTGTCATAAAGAAAATACATTGAAAAAGTTAGATGTTCAGGTATTTTTGGAATGTAAGATAGCCTGACTTCTTGTGTGGTTCTTTTCAATATGAAATTTCTATAGTTTACTAGAATGAAAAAAATAAATCTACCCTCTCTTTTCATGTAAAGGGACTATTTGCATGACTTACAGTGGTCCATATTAAAGATACCCTTTAATTTCCTTTAACTTTTTATGTCTTAATTTTCTTTCACTTTTTTCTCTTTTGCATTTTAGGTGCTTTTCTATTTTTATTTCTCAATGCATTTTCTTCTCTTTTATTTTTATATAGAATGGTATTATATGCAAAGCATTTTCATGTACATTATCATTTCAGCCTTACAATAAAATTCCAAGAGTTATTATGAATTTTATCCCCTTTATTTAGAACTGGTACCACCTGATCAACTGAAATCTTAATATTTGTTCAATACATTTATTGGTAGGATGGATATCTTTTTAGTGCTCTACCAAAAGAACTCTAATATAAGCTTCTTACAAAAAACTTTTGAATGTAGTATAGATTGGCAGGTGACTCATGGTCATTTCTGTATGAAATTCTTTTCATCTTGTTGCTACTCTATCTTCTGGGTTTCTTCCTCAACTGTGTGGTTGAAGCAGTTATAGTCTTGTCTATGAGGGGACTAGAAGTGAGTGGAAAGGGAACTTGGTTGTCCACATGCTCAAAGTCTAAGGCCCAAACTTAGAAGTGGTAAATAACCCTCCATTCATATTCTCCTGAAAAAAGCAAAGCCAGGTGGCATTTTTTTTATCTGTAAAGGGGGCTCAGAAGTGTAGTTTCTAGATGACTAGTCAGGTTATTACACAGTTGAAAAAGGGGAGAACAGATTTCACAATTTCTGTTCCAGTCCAACTCTATCCTTCCAGATATTTCTGTAGCCTCTACTCCCTACACATGGAATCCTTCATCTTCTTCTCAAGGGTGAGAATACATAAATCAGTTCTTCAGCTCTAGCTCAAAGTCTAGGATTTCTGGATGTTGTGACGGTTTTATCATTTTGGCTCTGAGGTAACACTTCATAGTCTAGCAGTCTATAAATTCAAAGGGAAGGTATCTCCTTATAATATAGAATGAAGGCACAAGAACAGGGTAAGTAAAATAAAGATTCCTTTTTGGAAGGAAGGAACAGGGACAAACAGCACTCACTAGTTAGTAACAGGTATCAAATCCTGCTGAGCAGAACTTGGAACAGGACTTCCTGCTGAGGTCCTAGGGTTCAATTTCTTGATTTGTTCTACTGGTGCTGCCACCTTCCCCTTATGTTTTATGGGAGACATCCCTTATCCATTGCTCTCTGTGGCTCCTGGCCCTGCCTTTAGGGAGAGTCCTACTAGTCTATATTCCTCTAAGACAGGTAAATTGATTATTGGAGAAAGTTGCCCTTTGTGGAAGCAGATTAAGTTTGGAACAACTGAGTTTCAGCTGACTGGGCTTTTGCAGTAGGACAATTCCCTCAAAATCTATTTGCTTCCAACCACTTATATACCAAGAACCATATCAGAAGTTATGTGCTGGACATATGGTTCTTAACCCTCCATTATCTCTTTTCTTTATTTCTAGACTCAGGATTTTTTTTTAATCTTATTTTAATGGCTACTTATCTTAAAGCCATCTGAAACAATAGTCTTGAATGTTAATATAACATCCTCAATCTTATCTTTATTCTAGGATTTGATCTTTTTTCCCCCTTGCTATAAGGCCTTTGAGAAAAGTTGTAAGCAACAATGATTTTATATTGTTTGTATTGTTTGGTATAGAGAAACAATTTGCTTCACCACACTTGTGAGGTCTCAAATACATATATTATTAAATATATCCTATTAGTATGGCTCTTTTCTATTGCCTAACCAAGAAAGCCTTCATAATCACATGGTATACCTTCTAAATTATCATAGATGATAGCTGTGTAAAATATTTTGTCACAGCATAAGAGGTTCACCAGATTTCTAGCCTGAGATTTGTTAACTCATCACATGGCATTCAACCATTAAATCTGTACTGTTTATTTTATGTATTTGTTATATTAGCACCCCATTCGATAGTAATTTTTGTCTTAGGCTAAGTTACTATATAACAAACCATAAAATAACATTAACATTGGCTTTAAAGGAAAGACAGAATTTCTTTCTTTCATGTCACAGACCTGATCTTCACATTGGCTAATGCTTCGCTCCACAGGGTCATTTAGAAACCCAAATTTCTTCCATTTAGCAGATTTACTATCTTTTAGAGTTGTTCTCAATTTTAAGGCTGAGCTGATAGCAGGCACCTCTGTGTTCCAGCTCGTAGGAAGGGAAAAGATTGTAGAGGAAGGCATCACTAGTCTTTTAAGGTCTAGACTGGGAAGTGACACACATCACTCTTATCACATTTCATAGACAGAATCAAAGTCACATGGCCACACTTGGCTATTGGGGGGAGGGATGGAAAATGGAGTCATTAGATGAGTCACTATGTGCTCAATACAACTTTATTATCATGGAAGAGAGGGTAATCCAAGTTGGGTGACTAGCTAACAGTCTTCACCATGGACCTTTAATACTAACTTTTACATGTTCAGTATATTATAACCCTGGAATTTATTAAGCCTTTCATTTTTAATTCTCATTTATAGTTGAACCTGGCTAGTTATAAATTTTAGTTTCTGAATTAATGTATTCAGTTTGGTTTATTTCTTTAAGTTTGATTAGCATTTTAATGAGGGATTTGCTGGCTCAGAGACAAAAATTAAAATTTACTTGATTTTCTTACGTATATTTTGTTTTATTCTATTAAATTCCACCAAGGGGAAAAAATAAGGTGCTCATAAGGCTTTGAAAAAAAATCATGAGGCGTGTAAACAGTCTGAATTTAATAAAAATTGTTTCCCAATGTAAATATGAAGTCTAGTGTTAGTCAAGAAGAAGTGTTATGTGATTTTATAATTTTAAGCAAAATGACCCAATTTCCATCATTAAAGGGCAGATATTGCATTCTCTACTTTTAAAATAAAATGTGAATTGTATGTTTCATTCTTTACTCACTGTGACTGTACTATAAAATTTTTTAAAAAAACCCACTAACTTCAAGAAACAAGGTAGTTGTAGCTATGTTTAAAAACATGCTATAAATAGAAAATTTAAGTTTGGTTTTTATTATCTCTTTTGCCCTTGATTAGTAATATATTCTTATCTTCTACAAGGATGACAGTAGTTCCTTGATCCTAATAAATTATTCAAAAAGTTACAAAATGATCTCATTTAACCCATTTTTAAATAGAAAATTGATGCTTATAATGCTACACTGAGGATGATGAATATAAAGATTGGTGGTGTAGAAATTGAAGAACTATATTGCTTTATATGTACCTAGAAAAGCACCATGTGTCCTAACAGATGTTCAGCATTTATCACTTTTCTTTCTTTCTCAAAGCAATGGCAGACTGTCCTTCTAGCATACAGTTGCTTTGTGACCATGGGGCCTCTGTGAATGCCAAGGATATAGTAAGTTAGTTTATGTTTTTATTCTCATTTTGTCTCATGTGTTCTAACTTTCTTTTCTTAATGCTGGTTTATTTTTCTTGTTGCTTAGGATGGGCGGACACCACTTGTTCTTGCTACTCAGATGTGTAGGCCAACAATATGTCAACTGCTGATAGATAGAGGGGCAGATATTAATTCCAGAGACAAACAAAACAGGTAATTCTTTTTTCTTGGCTCCAAGGTAGCAGCTGGAAGCACAGTGATTCTGAAACTTTGCTGCTGTGATTTGGCCTTTCCCTCTCCTTCTCCTCTCCCCTCCTTTGCTTGCTCTTCTTTGGAATTATCATCCATCCCTCACTTTTCTTCAGTCTGCTGAAGGATAAATGAGAGGAAAATAGGGGGAAATGACAGGTTAAATGGTGAATAAAAGCAGTGATTAGGGCCTATATTTGGGTCAGGGAACTGAAGGAAAAAGGAAGTACATCCCTGTTATTTTAAGCTTTAAAAAAAATCTTTAATGAAATGGGCATAAATACAAAATACAGAAGAATTTAAAAAATTATATCTATAGACTGTTTTCTTCACTTGTGAAATTTTTTTTAGATTCATTGGACATTGTAAAGCTTGACATGGTCAATTTAGATTTTCTTGAGGTGTTTTCTCCTTAGCCTATCAGAGCACAGTGCTGTCTCCTCTGAAAATGAGTCTGTTTCTTCATCCTAAGCTTCCCTTAGTTTACTTTCCCCCTGTATATGAATGTTTTTCAGGTAATCTGCTCTGCTAACTTCCACCCACAGTCTGCCTTTTCTCCTTCTCTGAGTCCAGTGTGTCATGGTGTTTTCTATATTATAATTCTGATGTATATATGGTCACAAACTTTCTGGTGGCAAATATCTGAAATATATTCCCCTAATTAGTTGAGCTGTTGTAATAATTTATAGCTAAGTTTCTGGGATTTTACAAATAATTACTAATAAATTTGTTCTTTTTATTTAATTTTATTCTTCTAAACATGTATACTATTTATAGTTCATTGAAAGAAGACAAATAAAATAGTTTTTAGATGTCATATTTATAATTCTAATTGTTTTTATTGTGCAGACATCTCAATGGAGGAAATTCTTAAGCAATTAAATCACTAATATGATTAAGAAGATGGAATTCTTGTATTATTTTGTGCAGATACTATAATCTGTTTGTCTAAGCATAACTAATAAAATTTGATTCTAAAATTAAAATTTGGGATTACAGAGGGTTGATCTGGGTGATTTATGTATAATGCCTTACATTTTTATAGTTCTTTTGTTTTACACACACATACAAACACACACACACACACACCGTGATGTTTTATAAACTTGCTAGATAGCAAATGATTTTAAAATTATAGTTTTGACACTGTATTCAAGTTTTTTGTGGTTGTTATTGAGTTTTTGGCATTTTTTAAAGCTAATAATACAACTTTGTTAATGCCTATTTTGTATAGAATTTTATACCAGCAATTATGGGGGTATTGGTTGTATAAGAAAGAGCTTACATAGGATAGTAAAGACAAGAATAATTTTCTTATGAAATTCAGTAGTCTCAATTGAAGTTTGATGATGAGTCACTTTATTTTGTTAGGTGTTGGTTCCCTTAGTTGTAGAAACAATTTTTTTTCTTTTTTTTTAATTGGTTATTCAAAACATTACAAAACTCTTGACATATCATTTTTCATACATTC